ATGATAGAACTATGGGTGAGGCTAAACAGAGGGTCTAAAATGTGCTGAATGCATTGCAGTCCCATGCTGTAAAAATATCTCCTAGGACCAAATACAGGCAGCATAATATCCTAGTAAATTGGACCATTAAATAAACTGCGAAGTCATAAAGCTGTAGCATTACCCTGAAATTAAAGCATTGTCACCTTTGAATTATGGAACAATCTAACAAGCATTTAGGAAACCTGCTTTTCAAGGATGAATTTAACTATTCCAGGTTATACAGTAAAAGATGTGGCTGCACTCTCCTACTGGGTTTTGAATGACTTTCAGCTTGTGTGTGGTTTGAAATTTTACCAAGCTGAGAAAGTAATAAAATAATAAAGTGGAATAATGGAAGGTAAAAATAAACAGTGACCTTTGCCTGGAGAACAGCTTTTTCATTCTCATTGCAAATTCACAAGTGCAGGGAGAGCTCATTAAATTGAGTAAACAGGAAAAAAACCATACAGTATGGACAGACGTAAAAAGATAATGATAACTAATTTGTTGACATAAAGCAAAAGAGAGCCTTATCTGCCTAGTTTAACAGTTTCCAGATATGGAAATGGCTAGAAGGAGCTAGTGGCACTCAACTTGGTTTGCATCTATGATTACAGTGTCACTGCCTAAAAATATAATGAAAACAAACCAAAAAAGAATAAAGATTTTCTTTTTTTTTAAACAATTATTGTATTGTGAAATAGGAAAAGTATTTGAAGCCCCATTTTCAAAAACCGTAGGCATAATCTATGCAGAGGTATGCCTCTGCAAAGGCATATGCAAGTCATGGAGCTAAGTTGCAGACAGCTGTTGCACTGCTTTCTAGCTGTAGTGATCTGTGTGCATGTCCAGATTGCAGCTATGTTTCTTACATAGGTCCTGAAACATGCCTGAAATGCAAGCTCCCAGATTGTTGTCAGTAGGCTTCAGAGTACACACCGATTGAGCTGTAAGAGTATAACGATTGACTTTGACCTCATTCTGAGGCAGGCAGCTGTATTCTGGGAGCAGCCCTAGCTAAATTTGTGCATGTGAATTTGAGAAAATAGTGTGATCTTTTTCTAAATGCTGACAGGTTTGAGGTAGAGAAAATGGTGCTTGAATAAAGCCCAAGAGTTGATCTGAATGGTGAGGGTCTTCAGAAGAAAGGCTGGGATTATTTTTGTGTGGTTTTCTGATCTACAGAAGCAGGTGCACAGTCTTGCTGTTGTCTTGGAATGGTTCAAGAATTTACTGCCCTCCAGCCCTTAGTTACTTCTCCCTCAGTCAGCTGAGATGCAGGAGGGAGCAGTGTCAGCTCTCCCACTCTGTCTGAAGCAAACTAATGTTTAAATAATTTTTAGGCTCATTTGCTGCTTGTAAGCAAAGGGGTGGCCTTTTGAAAGAAGGAACTTGCTCTGTTACCGTGATGTGAATGTAATCTCCCCCTTCTAGCAGGTTGTGTGTGACTTTGTGCATGTTACCCAGCGCCTCTATGCCTCACGTCCTTCTTTCTAAAAATGGAAGTACTTATTCTTTCCCTGGCAAGCAGGAAGAACTGTGGCTGAGATGGTCGAATACATCTCTCCTCCTCCTCTAACATTGTTGTCACCAGGTCTTTTGTCTTGCATCTGCATTGTGTTGGGCTGCCCTTCTAATCTGAAGACTTCCTTTCAAGCCTCTTTCATAGCTGGGGTTTTTTTTTTTTTTTGGTGGTTAAAAATACAAAAAGTAGCAGATGTGTTTCTCTTTGCTCTTTCTACACCAAATGTGCATAGGGAAAAGAAACAAACTTTTGAATGGTGGTAGCTTTTGCCATCGCAGAGGTATGCTTGCTGGTGGCTGTGACTTTCCTTTCACTAGATCAGTGAGCCAAACATATATATTTTTTGAGAAGCTGTACTGATGGTTACCTTCACTTCAAAGATGGAGCGTAAGAGGGAATCTTTGAAGTGACAAGCAAAACACAGATCTGATCTGTAAAAGTAATAAGTGTAACATATCAGGCATGTGTAGATTAGGAAATGTCTGAAATGTAACTCTGGAATTCTTCCCTTCCTCTATTACTTTTTTTTAACTCTCTGTTCTAATGTACTTGGTAAATCACAGTTACTTTGGGCACAGAAGGAAACTTGATTTGTTTTTCCTTTCCCTTTGCAAACTAGAGGATGGAAAATCTGTGGTTAGCTTCTTATTTCTAAAACGTCCTGTGAAGAAAAGCAGTTCTTGAATGTCAAAGTTCAGATCTCAGAGGGACAGCTGAGTGCAGCTGTATTGATAACAAGATCATTGAAAATTAACGGACATTCACAGAGGAAAATAAGAGAAAGACCTGTTGCACTGTTTGTCCAACATAATTGTTAATGAGAGCTTGTCACTAACAGTATGTTTGCTGATGTCTTGTCCAACCTTGTTTCAAACATGTCAATTAATTACATTTCCAACACTTCTTGGGAAGACACTTTTATGCTATGCTACTGTTAAAAAGTTTTTCCTTGTAATCCTTCATTGCTTCTAAATTACCAGATCTTGATGGTTTTGGCTTTTCAGGTACCCACACAGCACCTTTCCTGTTGTACAAGTACACAGCCTGAAAAGCACAGTAGTGTTAACCACTCTGAAACTCTAGCGTTAGGCTGCTGTACTTCCTGAGCAGCACTGTAGCCACTATTATGAGCATTGATTTTATTGCAATTTCTCAAAATTATGTTAATAACTCTCAGTGGGGAGGAGCTTATGACTGCCCATCTGGAATTTCAGCAACCAGTTCATTCCATCATCTCTTGGTTTTACATCTCGCTTACAGCATCAGCAACTTGATGTTTGTCTTTTTAGTAGATTTTTCAGTGAAGGCAGGGGTTAAACTTCTACCAACTTCAGTGAGAGGAAAGTTAGCTCATCCTCAGCTGCTTCTGAAAAATCCACTCTACTCATGTCAATCCTTGAGACAACAAAGGAAAAAACAGTGGGACTGGCTGATAAGAATCACTACTTTCTGATGTACAAGATGGGTGTTATGAAGTCATTGAATTATATTGTGTTGGAAGCAATATAGGCGCAGAGAACACCACAATTAGAAGCAATTAGCTTAGCAGGGAGGTTGTTTCCTGGCTGGTTCTGGTGAGATAGCAATGGGCAAGATAACAAGGACAGCCTTAACAGCCGATCTGCTGAGCTGACCCAGAGTAAAAGGCAAACTCTTTAATGAGGATTCAGAGGACTGAGTCCTGCGTGTGCTCCATGATGTTATTAAGAGTCACATCCAGTAAATTCCCCCTTTATCAAAGACCCTGCTTGCCTAGCGAGGATACAAGATACTGACAGAGCAAAAATTTAAGGAAGTAAATTTTTAATCATTTGATGAGAGGAAGATTTCAATCTCACTTGCAGAAACCTATGGACAGTTACAGATGAAGGAGCAAGATCTAGACAAGAGTTTTCTGTTTTGTTATTCATGCTTCAACAGGGAAACCCTGGATAACGCTGAACCGGATCGTTTCTAAACTGATCTTAAAAACTGTGCATTTAAGTATTCAGACAGTTTTACCATATTACCTGGTTTGAGTTCTTGCAGAGCATGAGCCTTCCAGTTACTCCCCAATACACTGGCATAATAAACCCAGTAGCTTTGTGGCCACTGCAGTGCATTACAGTTGTAGTATTTTTTGTTGAGCTACAAATATCCCACAAATTACTTCAACAGAACTCTAATAGGCATATAAAAATCCTAAATGGACTATCTGTGCAAAGACACTCAGATGATTTAATGGATTGTCATTATGGAGGCATTCAGATGACAGGCAAGTAACAACAACCATCTGGAGACTATTTAAAGAGGTCTGTTCCAAGACCTGGCTGCAAGTTATGGAGAAATTACTCTCCCAGTAATGTATGGCATTAACTGTAAGGACAGTTTATGCTCAGCAAACCATACATTCACTACAACACTCTCATAATTTCTGTGATGGTAGACGGAAAGAGTTTGTTCGTAGATCTGTAATTCTGTGGTTCTTATTGAGTTCAGGATGCTGCTTGTGGATCCCTTGAGTTGGAGCTCAAAGAAACACTGCTGCAATGTATGATACACGAAGTTAAGTTAAAATCAGAAGAAATATTGCAAATTTATTGCTTGTAAAACTTGCCCCAGTAGTTTTAATCACAGTCAACACTGTGGCACAATACCCTACACAGTCCTTATCATGCCAACCCCAATGCCAGTCATGAGCTGGGATGTTACGGGGCAGGTTGTGCTTAAGCCTAGATTCTGCTTTCTGTTGCCTACAAAATCCCTTGGTCTGCCAGTAAATGCAATGAAAGAGATGAGAATGGGCTCCCCAGCATGGGAAATCATCAACGTTTACACTTAACTATAGATGCCGAGTCATATGTTGTTCTGTATAATCATCCAAGCAGGGCGTCACTCAACTTATATGTAGAAAAATCTGAGAGCTGAGTAAAATGAGTGATCTGAATTTGAACTGGGTAGTAAGAACATATTCTCAGTTTTAGCTTTCTGGCAAAAGTTTGTGGTTACTTTATGCAAGCTCATCAGCCACAGTTCTCCGCTACCATTTGTTATAACAGCGTGGGCTGTGCTCAGGTACAGCTATGCTTGCAAAAGATGAGTGTTACCCCCATGAGCCATATTATTATGCCTTTTCTCTCAGGGACAAAGCCACCTGAAAGAGATCTCATTTTCTTCAGATACCTGGCAATAAAAGGTGCTGAAGATCTCCCGTGGTTCCTGGGAAGCTTGTAGTTTCTCTCTTGCTCAGCAGACTCTGTAGTGTTTGCTTGAGCTGTTTGAGGGAGAAATATCTCTGCGGGCTACACTGACCTGTAATAGGTCTTCATCACAGAGTGACCGTTTTGGAGCCCAGGGTCCTGCTGACGCTCTATCCAATGCAGCAAAGTGTTAGATTTCAATTGTTTTCTTGTTCCCTGCTTGTTGCAAGTTTTTTTGCTGTTAACTTCCCGTTCAATCCTTTTTCATTTAACAGAAGATAAGATCTGGACTGCAGTGCAGCACAACAACACAGGGCTAACCAGAGTCCAAGGAGCTGATCCGGAGAAGCCATACACCATGTCCTTTAACTACAACAGCAGCGCGGAGCAGCTTGAAGCCATGATAAACAGTGCAGAGTACTGCGAACAGGAGGCAGCCTACCACTGCAAAAAGTCACGTCTCCTGAATACCCCGAGTAAGTGCCACGATCCCAAATCTTCCCTTGTTAACTATTATTGATTATACAGCAGATACAGGATGCAGTGCGACTGAGGCGGAAAAAAAAAACAAAACATAGTAGCAATACAAAATAGAGTGAAAAGCCTTTTACCTTTGTATTGGGTTTGTGTAGCAAGGTTTTGGTAGTGGGCAGGGGCTACAGGGTTGCTTTTGTGAGAAGCTGCTAGAAGCTTCCTCCATGTCTGACAGAGCCAATGCCAGCCAGCTCTCAGACAGACCCGCCACTGGCCAAGGCTGAGCCCATCAGTGACGGTGATAGTGCCTCTGGGGTAACAGATTTGAGAAGGGGTAAAAAAACCCCCAAACTGCACACTTGCAGCCAGAGAGAGGAGTGAGAAAATGAGAGAAACGACCCTGCAGGCCCCCAGGTCAGTGAAAAAGGAGGGGGAGGAGGTGATCCAGGTGCCGGAGCAGAGATTCCCCTGCAGCCTGTGGGGAAGACCATGGTGAGGCAGGCTGTCCCCCTGCAGTCCAGGGAGGTCCACAGTGGAGCAGATATCCACCTGCAGAGGAACCCATGCTGGAGCAGTTTTGCTGGCAGGACTTGTGACCCCATGGGGGTCCCAAGCTGGAGCAGTCTGTACCTGAAGGACTGCAGCCCGTGGGAAGGACTCATGTTGGAGAAGTTTGTGGAGAACTGTCTCCTGTGGGAGGGACCCCACGCTGGAGCAGGGGAAGAGTGTGAGGAGTTCTGCCCCTGACGAGGAAGGATCGGCAGAGACAATGTGTGACAAATTGACTGCAAACCCCATTCCTCATCCCCTAGCACCGCTTGGGAGGATGAGGTAGAGAATTCGTGAGTAAAGTTAAGCCTGGGATGAAGGGAGGCATGGGGGGGAAGTGTTTTAAGATTTAAGTTTTATTTCTCATTATCTTACTCTGATAATAAATTAAACAAATTTCCCCAAGTTGAGTCTGTTTTGCCTATGACGGTAATTGGTGAGTGATCTCTCCCTGTCCTTATCTCAACCCACAAACCTTTGATTATATTTTCTCTCCCCTGTCCAGCTGAGAAGGGAAGTGATAGAGCAGCTTTGGTGGGCACCTGGTGTCCAGCCAGGGTCAACCCACCACAGCCTTCTTGGATACCACATGCAGTGCCTGTCCTCTGATGCAAGAGGGTCAGAGCTCTGCAGGGGTTTCTGCCCTGTAAGTTCATACGTACAAAGGCTCTGAAAGCTTCTACAATGGAAAGTACTCCTTAGACACCAGAAAAGCTGTATTTAGCTGATGGTAAGTGGATGCTTATTCATTTACAGTTTTAAACTGTATATTAAAGATAGAAAGCATCCAGATTGCTCCAGACTCTTATGATGTTTCGGGAGAGGAGGAGTGTACCGTCTTCGGAGTCCCACAGCCCTGAATATGATGTTTAAGGTGCTTGGTAGTACCGTTTCTCGGGCAAAACTAATTTTCCTCTTGTGATAGAAGGAATAAGGCTTTTTGCCCTGACTTAATGTAGCAACAACAAGAAAGCAGAGGGTCTGATTGGTTTATGGCTCTCTGCGGTACCAAATTTCCAGTGGCCACTCAGGATGGCTGGCTTCTACTTTACTTTCTCTTGGGGTTGGGATTTTACATTTGCTTGTCCAGAGAGATAAATGACATTAAGGGCAGGCTTATGAATGTCTTCAAAGTCTCATCTGGTTACTTGTAATGTCTGTATGGTCCTGGTGATTCTTTGATTATTAGCAACTCTTAAATTTGTTAGTTGGTTAGAAGAAATCCCACAGAAAGCCTTAAGGGAGCTTGCAATGGGAGCTCCTATTGTATTAAAAATACATCGCCTAATGAGATGTATCAAAAACCTGCCTGGTTCCAGCAAAGTTACTATAACACTGAGTGTTTATATGTCCAGTAATCAGATGCCTTACAGTTGGTTTATTTTTAAAACCTGTGAATTATGTCTTTAATTATCATCAGAATTTACCAGCCAAGAACTGCTTGTATTGCTAATCATTTTTTAAAGAATGAAATGTTAATATCAGCATCCAGGGTAGAGCACAAAGGGAAAACAAGATGCAGGCATAACTGCTCTTAAAGAGGTGGAACTAATGTCTTACAAATACTTCCAGTGTTGCTGGCTTCTGTATCCCACACCACACCTGACATGTTATAAAGATATAATCACACAGTAATTTTTTCAAAAATATTTTTTTTTAAGGATGAAGGCCACAATATTAAGGCAGGTCTGCATGTGTTTAATTTTACACATCTCTGTGAGGTACTTGGTCATGCGTAAGCAGAAGGGTACACTATGAGTTCATTTTGAGATACCTCTGGTATGTAGTACCTCTATAAAACTAGGGACACTTCTTAAAGATCCAAACCCTTTTCTCCTTTAAAAAAAAAAAAAAATAGTGATAATCTTGTAAATTGACAGTATATAAATATCCTGCTTCAGGGCTAAAGCTATCTACCAACTGGCAGACTGGCTAAGATGATTCTGACTGGCAGCTCCTTCTCTACTTGTCCAGGACCAAAGTTGTGACTCTGACTCCTCAAGGGAGAGGACACAGGGATGGTGTCCAGCAGCCCAGCTTGCGCTCTTGCAGCTGCTGCAGTGCCACTGTGGTCCTGAGAGTTGACCACACAAGAAATGCACATAACTCTTTAGTACAGGTCCAGCTGATAAATTAGAAAAAAAAATTAGTCCGGTGTTATGCATGTGGCAGACACCATCATTTTTTTCCTCTTTTTTCTTACTTTTGTATGCTTTTTAATTACACTTTCAATTTTTCATCCTGAACTTCCTCAATAGCCTAAGGCTGTAAGTTTGGCAAGATGTGGAACATGCCTAAAAATAAATCGTTTGAGTTCTTGAAATGACAAGATATGGGTAACAATTTGTTCTTAGCTGAGTATTCTGTGTTTTTAAATGATAGAAAGGCATTTTTTTCCCCAAAGCCTTAAATAGCTCTGTGAATGGATATTCATTTTGAGGTGAACTGCTGCTATATCATAGAATAGCCTAGAGACCCAGTAGTTCTAAACACTGTAGGTGTCTTGAAGAGCTCTAAGATTTAAAGAATTTCCAATCCTAAACTTAAAGATGAGCTACAAGTGTGAATAACCCTAGGGTGTTTTGCCAGACTCACTGCAGAAGGGTCTCGCCTGTGTTGTTTATGTCCAGAAGCTACCGGAGGGAGTTTGATTTGGGGCCAGAGCAACAGAACAAAAATCAAAATTCTTGGGTTTTGTTTCTTGATTCGGCCTAGACTTTCGGATGCCTGAAGCACTACATTATCTCTGTGTTGCCAGGGCATCATAATGTGTAATTATGGTTAATGAACCACACTTCAGCTCTTCCTTCAGAAGTCAGTATACAATGCACATGTATTGATGACAATGCTGCATTCATAGGCCAGCAGGAAACATTACATGACCTAATCCAGCCTACTTAATATCAACACTCACCTGTGGACTCAGCCCCGTGGTGAATGCTTGATTGAAGGGCATCTCCCAGAGATATATCTGATCTTGACAGAGATAAGAAAGTTCCCCTTCCTGCAAGGAATCTTATCCATTTCTGAGCTTCCTCTCATTTGGGCCTTTGTTCTTCTTTTTCCAAGGAGATGGAATGCACGATTAGGATATCTCAGCTGGTAGCACCAAAACCCCAAATCCTTGCCTTCAGGATCTAAACATTATCATGTTTCATAGAGAAGCAATAAAAAGATTTCTCTTTCCTTTTGCATTCATAGCGTTACTCTCCAGCAAAATGCATGTTGTTACATAGCAATTTCGGCTTTCACAGCTTTGACATGGCGGAAAAAAAGAAAAAAAATCATGTGCCTGGGCAAAGGGAGAAGCATGGCACTCTGGGTCGCCTCAGAGAGAAATCAAGGGAGACTCCTGGCTTGCATAAAATTGTTCTAGTTTATATCAAGGAATTTGTCTTTCCTCTCTTCCTGCTACCTCTTGTCCTGAAGACACAGGCGCACCCCCAGTGGGTGTGATTCAGCGTAGTCTCCCCATTGAGTTACTTGGCTTTACATCTGCAATGTGTCAGACATGCAATCTGGCAGTTGGCAAAGGAGTTTACTCATCTCCACCTCCCGCTGTCTGGAACAGCCTTATCAGTTCTCACTGTCATACTACAGCTTAGCTGCAAGCATGTCTTTGAAAACTAAAATTAAATTGCCCTGAACTGCATTTTTGTACATCTCTGCCATCAGATAGATTTTCAGGAGGTTTGCGAACATCAGAATAGATGTCTGTTCATCAAAGGAATAGCTGGCTTTCTCATGATGCTAGCAAATGAAACTTATAATTTATGACCAGTAATTGCAAGTCTCTTGTGAGTTCTCCATGCCTGTTGGAGAGACACTCACACAACTGAAGCAAATGTGACAATTGCCATTAATTAGAAGAGTCATCCACACTCTTAGTAAAAGATTGCAGACTTTACCACAGCCTCATCCTTAGAAGCACAGACCAAGACAGGGGAGGAGGGGGGTGGGCAGGAACCTTGGGCTACCTCTCAGTGTGTCGTCTGTATTCTGGGAATCTGAAAAGAAATTTAGGCCCCTGGGGCTCTGATTTCCTTACTTTGTGAAGCGTCTCGGGTAATACGTAGGAAAAGGGTATGTGTACAAGAATAGGTGCATGTGTGCACATGCACGTTTAATTAAACTGTTAACATACAAGATGTTTGAACGTATGAAAACACTTTATTAACTGAACAAAACCTCAGCTCTGAATTTGCTCGGTTTTCTAGGAACAGTGGGTATACTTAAAGGCTTAACATTTGGGAAGCTGCATCACATCCACCATATCAAGGACTTAACACAGTGACAGCTGTATCGGTGGCAGGATAGCTTGCTTTACAATAGTTGGCTGACAGTCTGTCAAGTTCATAGCACATTTGTGTAGTCAGGGACTGAGAGAAGATCAGTCCTAGAGCAAAATCAAAGAAATAGGAATGTCTTTAGGTGGTGTTTTTTTCCTGCTGTC